ACCGGTCTCGGTTCCGGTCCCGGTCGAAAAGGTGAAGACCGGTCAAGGCGAATCATAACCAGTTATGGGGTCCCGGTCCCGGTCCTAACCAGTCCCGATATTAAAAATTATTATGTTTTAATTTCTTTTCTAACGATATATATTTTTAATACATTATAAAATTTGTAAATTGGTCACTAAAATACACTTTAAAAAGGCATTTTAATATAACTAAAATTACATGGTCTTAAAAAAATACATTATAAAATTATTTAAAAATACATTTATTTATAAAATTATCTTAATTTTCGGTTATGGGGTCCCGGTCCCGGTCGGTCCCGATCCCACGAAACTACCAAAAACCTAACCGGTCCCGGTTTTCGGTCCCATAACCGGTCCTTACTGGTCCCGGACCGAGCGGGGTCGATTTGGCCATCACTAAGTGGTGGTGTACAGATTACATGAGAAATGAGAAAATAGTCTCGTATTTAACATGACATGAAAATTGGAACTAAAATAAAGTGCGTCAAAAACTTCATTCGATGAGGCAAAGCAGTGTTTCTTACTTTCTTTCTTGTACATTTTCACCTAAAAAGGTGGAACAACTCTCTTGTTTATGCATTATATACATATAGGGAGGAGATGAGATGAGATCGGCGAAGAACTTTGGAAGAAAAAAAAAACCACATAATCCATCTAAACCGTTAGATTGTGATGATCCAACGGACATAGTTAAAAATGTGATTATAACCACCTTTTAAAAAGTCTCTCTTTTTAAATTGAAAATCAACAAAATATGACAAAGATTGGAATGAAAAAAAAACTATACAAAAAAAAAAATGACCAATTTTATAAATATTGTCATTTAAAAAGACGGGGTGACTTGTCCAAATACAAGATAGGTCTCGGGTTTAATCCCCCTTTAAGGCTAGCTTCAACCACTGAATGAGTCAAAAAAAATATTCCCTCACATTGTGTCTTTCAAGACGGGTTTCGTGTAAAATCATTTGAGAATTAAGAATACCGGTAATCAACTTTTTATCGAAACCATTTAATATATAGTTGATTTATGTAATTTATAATTATTATATAATAAAAAACATTTAACAATATTTAAAAATAATCCAGTTTTTCGATATGTTTGTCCTCTTATATCTACTGGTACCAAATATAAACCTGAGAATTACCCGATTCTAATTTAATTTTGAAAGTAAACGCTATGATAAAGCAACAAAAATAAGAGTTTCTTTCTTCTAACATGGAACCAATCCTAATTTGAAGACTAAGGGGTTGTTAAAAAAATATGTTTTTTAATAGTTCTAAAATCTCCTGAATGATTTTGTATCTTGTGCTTTTTTTAACCATTCAGCATTCTAATTTCATTGTAAACAATTACCGAATAATTATATATCATTTTATACTATATTATAAGAGTCTTTTAATCATTCTAATCATTTAATCATTCTACACCAAACCATTCAACAACCTTCAAACAATCTCCAAATATTTAAGAATTTCCCATTTAGAAAGTGAAATAGAAATATATTTCCATTGTTTATTATCCGCAAGCATCAACAAATTTATGTTTTCCACACAAAAACGTGGATATCTATTCGATGGCTAGTGGCTCTAAACGTCACCGTTTGTAAACGGCTGAGAATAACATGTTCTATTTTAGAGTAAGTTACATTTTTTATCCCTGTAATTATCACCCATTAACAACTTTTGTTTCTCTTTTCAACTTATTATAGTTTTGATCCTTATAGTTACCATTTTATTTAACTTTTGGTCCTTGGACTAACTTCTATTAAAAGACTTCGTTGACTTAGAATATACTTTTATCACTTTTTATTTATTTTCAATTAAAAATATAAATAAATATATAAGTGTTATGATTATATTAATATATACACACACATAAAAAACAACAGACCAGGTCAGAGTATTTCACCCACTCCTCGACGCCCCTAGACGACAATACCCCTCCTCCCGTCACAACCTAATACCTCACGACAACCACCGTTTGTCTTCTTCAATGATGCCTCCAACATCGTTCGTCTCTCCCGTAATACCTCCAACATCATTCGTCTTCTCCTGAACTGCCGTAGAAACACCACAACCATACTTGCAAACCCGAAAATCGGGAAGGTGATGGATGTAGTAAACCCATCGTCGACCAACTTCGTTCCATAAATACAGGTACTACACTCCATCTCCAACGAAGAACTCGATATTCCTTGTTTGATCTAAACGCTACATTAAAGTATGATTTCAGATTTAGGGTTTTGAGTGTGACTTCAAATTGAAGTATGCTTTTAGAATTCGGGATTGTTTTATTTATTTTGGTATCAGGTTTTTTATTTTAGATTTTAGAATTTGGATGTGGGTGTTTTTTGGAATATGAATTTGTTTTCATTTCGGTTTATTTTAGAGTCTTTGTTCATATAGGGTTTACAGAAGAAGATGACCGAAGTTAACAAATTTAATATACTAAGTATGATTAAAAACCGAGTAAAAAAACATGACAAAGAAACAAAATAAAAGTAAAAAAAGAGTAAAAAGACCAAAATATTATAACATGGAAATACTAACAAGTTAACAAGCTTATTTAACAAAAGTTACTCAGAGGAACCCGAAGTGAAACAAAATGATAATCATAATTATTAGAGGTAGGGGTGCTTAAAAACCCGACCAACCGGTCAACCCAACCCAATCTAACGCGAAATAACCCAATCCGAAGCAACCCGATGTCTAATCGAGTTGTAAACTCGTCAAACTGTAGGTATTGGGTTGATATTAGGTTACTATTATTTGAACTCATTTCAACCCGATGAACCCGATATCCTTTTATTTCTTGGATTTAATATGATTGTTGAATTTATATTACTATATACATTAGACAATTATGTTATCATGTATGCTTTTCATATACATAAATTTTCAATCTATTCATCTATCTATATAACTCATTCACATATATGTTCAGTAACTGTGAACATATAAATGTAAATTGAGAAAATTAATTGAATGTGATATACGTAAGAAATATGAATAAGTTGTATCAAATGGTTGATGCTGAAAAAGAAATTATGAGTAGAGAAATAACATATTCAAGGTTAAAAGAATATTTTAATATACCAAAGTATCAACCCAACCAACCCGACTAACCCAACCCGAAATAACATTTAGAAGAATATTTTAATATACCAAAGTATCAACCCAACCAACCCGTACGGCGGCCATTGGGTTGGGTTGCATTAAGATTTTTCTAAATCGTAAGCATTGGATTGAGTTATTCAAATGTTTTCAACCCGATTAATCCAACCTATGAGCATCCCTAATTAGAGGTGTAATTGGTTTAGAGGAGGGACTACACTTGTTAGTGTATGATAACCATAAAATCTAAAAGTGTAATTTACTCTTTATTTTGTTAAATAAATATTTAAATTGCTTTAAAAGGGGTTGATATTGCCACCCCTGTGAACACTTTCTACCCCCTGCACATGTTCCCTTTCACACACACCTCTCCTCTCACAATCACTCTCCTCACACACTCACACCGAATTCAGTTTTTTTAATTTTAAAAATTTAAATTTACATTTTATATCCCTATAATTAGTTAATTAATTCACTTTATATCATTTCCTTTTAAAATTTTCATTTTATACCCTGATCAAATTAACATACATAATTGTATATCAATTAAAATATGTTTAAGAAATACGTTTTAATTTTAACAAGTTACACCATTATAATTGTCGCGTCAATACCTTCGAAATAAGCCCAATATTGAATATTTTTTGACTTAATTATATTATTATATATTATATACTATGAAAAAATATTTTTAATTTACATTTATAGTTATTTATTTAATTTATGATATGTCATTTATTTTTTCAAATTTTGTTTTACATCATTATCACATTAAAATACATGTTACATTATGAACAATAATATCGACATTAAGTACAAAATACGTTAGGAAAATACGTTTTAACATATGTACCCAAGTTTATTTCATCCATACGTCATACAAATACAAGATGTATTAGGCGATGGAAATTGTGGATTTCGAGCGATATCTACTTGTCTGGGTGGTCATGAAGACGAATGGGACAATATCCGCAAAGAGTTAATGATTGAACTAACTGAGTATGGACAATATTACTCCTATGTGATTGGCGATGAGTGCTTACGCATTCACGAAGCGCTAAATTTTTTCCAAAAGGGCGTCTTTGMACCAGTTGCGCATTGGATTGTTATGCCTGAAATGGGCATTCTAACGGCTTCAAGGTTCAATGTCATACTGCATGTTCTCAATATGGCAAACAATGTGACATATTTACTGTTTAGGACACAACCTCCGTCGTCATCTCAACACGTGGCAATTGCAATAGTGCATGTTAATGGTAACCATTACATAAAGATGGTATTAAATGGAGAATATCCAATGCCCACACTTACGCATCATTGGACATGTTATCGTTTTGAAGATGCAAGTACATGGATTGTCCCGTATCAACATAGATTCAATGCATATGAAGAATATATAAAACGTACTCTTACTCGTGAATATGTTAATTTAACATGAAAAATCAAAGTTTTAATTAATAAATTTAATTTATATTTGAAATATGTATTATTAATATTTTATTATTATATAGTGCGTATTCTTATTCGTGAATATGTTGATTTAACATGAAAAATCAAAATTTTAATTAATAAATTTAATTTATATTTAAAATATGTATTATTAATATTTAATTAATTAATAATAATATAAAACATGTTAAAAAAATAAAGGATTAAAAGTTAAAATATAAAAAAGTTACGGTTAAAAATTAAAATATAAAAAAATTAAAAATAAAAATATTTAAATTTTGTCATTTAATTATTTTTTATCCATTAGAACAAGGGGTGCATAAGATTGGTAGGAGGAGGTGGGGTTAGAAAACCCCCTTTAAAAATATATATTTGAATATAACGTGTAAATATAGACAAAATACCATTTGACCATCTGATTTCCGTATATTCCTCGATCCGGTCAGGACCGGCTGTACTCAAGTGTATTTCCAACGGCGGCCATTGATCACCTCTCCGGCTTCGCCGTTGTCAAAACTTCACGCGCCGTCGATGAGCTCCGCCTCCGCTTTATCTCACCTCATCTGCTGATGACAACGCCACAACAGCTACCACTACCACCAGTAGTCCGCTCTTCCCCATAAGTACTGACTACTGAGTTCTCAACCTCCTCCAGTTCTTCATCCACTTCACCTGCTAGTTCTTCAGATATGTGGAACTACATATGGATTCTTTTTTTGATTTATCTTCTGATAGAAATCAGCTTTGCTAAGGCTGCTTCTGTTGATGATGGATTGACTTCCACGTGTCCTGCGCTTGACCCCAGGCTGAATTACCGTCCGATAATCGGAATTCTCAGCCATCCAGGAGATGGTGCCTCCGGTCAACTTAGTAATGCGACTGATGCTTCGTATATTGCTGCATCGTATGTGAAGTTTGTTGAATCTGCCGGTGCTAGGGTTATTCCTCTCATCTATAACGAACCTCCTGAGGTTCTCCAGAGTGTAATTTCTCATCTCTTCAATCTATAAGGCTGTGATTTTATTTTTTCTTTTTCGAACTTTGTAATTAACCTCCTAACCGTCCGAAACTATAGGGATGATTACTCGGACCTCTTTGAATTCTGTCACTCAGATATATAAGTTGGTAGACATGGGCGATGCAATAATTGACCATTTTCTACTATTATTCTGACCTTATAAAATCAATTGCAGTTGTCAATTTTGATTGTTTCTGTCTTTATGTAATAAGATTCATCATAAACTTGAAGTTTATGTGTAGACTGTCATACCTCCAACATCACTGAACTGATGCACTCATTATATCCACACTTATCACTTATCACTTATCACAAACGTTGGTGGTTCTGAATTCTGATAGAAGAGAAATATCAAAGTATGTGTATTTGATAAGGTCAACTGATGTGTGATTAATTTTTACCTAAATCCCAAATATACTTTCATAACTTTAGAGTAGAGGCAGTTATTGTATTTGCTGGATACTGGCAGATCATGCATTTGAGTTGCTGTCCGCCTGTCCATAAGGATTTCTTTGTATGAAGGCCTTTTTTCGTGTTATGTTTGAAACAGTATTGTTGAATTTGGGCATGCACATTATATTCCGGAAATGTTTCTTAAGTAACTTGTGCAATTGCATCACAGAAACTCAATCTGGTCAATGGAGTGCTTTTTACCGGTGGATGGTCTAAGGCTGGCCTATACTTTGATGTTGTTGAGGGAATTTTTAATGTAAGTGCACCTTTTTTATACAAATACTGAAATACAATAAACCACGTCAAAAGGCAAGAGTAAAATTGGGTGATTATTTTTCCCTTAACTTACCAAAAAGAGTGTCATCTTACCTATCTTTTTAAAGCCACCTCCGAAAAATTTCCAAAAAACTGATGCCTTTGAGCAATGTATTTAATGAATTAGTCTTCATATAATTACCCATCTATAAAACAACCTATTTACAATTGAATTATTGAAGTCATGTGGGATAATTATCCTACAATAACATCAAAACCTTAATCTCAAATCTTTTGGACTAGGCTGAAAATGGAACTTCCAGATGTTGTCAAAACAATTACTTGAAGTATGTTGCCATGAAACCGATATGGTTTATAACTTCTTGCTTCATAGTCATATGCTCTTAACATTATTAGCTTCTCTTAATCTCTACTTTTGCAGCAAGTCCTGAAGAAGAATGATGCAGGTGACCATTTCCCATTGCTTGCAATATGCTTAGGTTTTGAACTCCTAACGATGGTTATTAGCAAAGTAAGCCATGTTCAGTTATGTATTACTGTTTGTTTATGCATTGCCTTTCACCGTTCACCCAGTTTTGATCACACTTTTCTACACATGCTGCTTGTGAATCTTTCTCATCTGGGATAGAATTTATTCAAATACACTGTTTAGAATTTGCTCCAATTGCTAGAATTCAATGTCTTGACAGTGCAAAGGATGACAAAGGTTGAATGCATGCTATTGCCTCCTTGCACATACTTCCTCTTTTGGATGGAATACTTGATGTGTCTGATATCTGAACACTTGTTCACCATTTCATGATTGGGAATTTTAATTATATAGATAATTCCTTGTTTCCTGCTTACTATTTTCTCTTTCCTGGATTTTTACTCTTTAATCATTAGTAGTAAAGCTAATTCAAGTACCCTTTTTTACTCTTCGATCTGATTTTCCTTGTATTGGGTATGACTATTTGTATATTTCTGTATGTCACTAGAACAATAATATCCTTGAAGCCTTCAGTGCATCAAATCAAGCGTCTACGCTCCAATTCATGAAGAATGTAAATATTGAAGGAACTCTGTTTCAAAGGTATTACATGGTTTGGTAGTTTGCTAGGTATTTTTTTTTTTTACTTTTGCTATTGAAAATATTGCTGTTAAAAATGAATGTGTGTATCAAGTTCAATAATGACAGTGTTACACATCTTCGTCCTTCCATTTGACCGGCACGTAATAACACTCATTTGTCGGTGGTGTTGGTTTCTGTTTGTTGTTGTTCCTTTTCCACTTGCAGTTCTTTGGTGTAATTAAGCATGGCTCAGTTCAGGTTGCACCCAGTGAGTTATGTTAATAAACAAAACCTACTCTTTCCTTACAAAAAAGAAGATAATAAAAAAGGAGTATCTGTGTACTAAGTTTCCATATATAACGGCAAAGGCTTCACTTCTGCGTCAAGATTTAAGGATTAGGTTCATAGGTTCGGAATGCATGTGGTTGTTTTGTGCACCCCTTGCTGGTACTATATTCACTACAGTTATCTGTGTGTATGTTCTGTCTTGCTGTCACTCATCATATGCACCATCCCTTTCTCTGTAACACTTGTATGATTTCTAGAACTAAATGTTAAGTTAATGTTTTTTCTTTTCTACAGATTTGCTCCTGAGCTGATTGCGAAGTTGAGCACAGAATGCCTTGTGATGCAAAACCATAAAGTGAGTTCAAACATCATGTGGTATATTATCTCAGACGTGTATTAAATGGCCTTAATCTGGATTGGCATACTTGCGTGTGAGCATATCCAAAGGATCTTTCTAATCCTAGGTTTGATTTGTCTATGTAACAGTTTGGCATATCGCCAGAAACATTTCAAGGGAACATGGAACTGTGCAGCTTCTTCAAGATCTTAACAACTAGTAGGGATGAAAATAACAAGGTGCTTAGCTTAATCATATTGTGCACTATAATAATAGCTTTCAGATCGATTTTGGAATCATTTTTTGCCAAACTTTTCTCTATGGTTCAAAGATCTAATTTTTTTTAAACGATTGGGTCAGGTATATGTATCAACAGTTCAATCAGAAAGCTATCCAGTAACTGCTGTCCAGTGGCACCCAGAGGTATTAATGCTATGGTGTTTATCAACTATGTTTATGCCTTGCATTTTCCTGATTCTGTGAGAATGTTGCCATCATCCATTATATAATGGCTTGAGATAAAGACTACACATTTTCTTTGGCGTGCAAGATATATCACCATTCGTGCATGCGTATAGTTTCTGATTATTAATTGATTTCATTGCAACAGTTTAGGTGTCTAGAAGCTATATGATGCAACTTTATGGTTGTTTGATAAACACTGCATAAAGACCCTATGAACTCCCAGGTCCGGAGATCCATTTTAGATTTGCCACTCACCCACAAAAACATTATCTTTAACCCTTAAACCCCAATTATAATATTTAACCCCTGCATTTTTACTGCTAAATAGTTGACATGACAGCTTTTCAGAATGAAACACTTCTTTCTGTATGTATTTATGGTAGATTGTGAAAGAATCCCAATGCCCAAATTTGTTTTAACATGAAAGGGAAAATAAACCATCTCTTTCTTCTTCGGTATCACTCCCACCACCACAACTGCTTCTAAATCCAACCCCTTAATCAAGTCTCTTATTGTTTATTGCATACCGCTTTCTTTGGAAATTGGAACCTCACAACTAATACTATTGCGTCCATCGTTGCTTGTTCATACTTCATGCGGTAAATTAAAATATTATATATATATATATATATATATAGAGAGAGAGAGAGAGAGAGAGAGGAAGTGTATCTTATAGTTCTATTTAATCAGGGTGAAAACCCCACTATTTATATACACTGATCCTGTTATCATAATTTGTTTTTATCTGCTACCTATATGGGATACACTAAAACATACACTTTTCCACATTCTCATCAAGCTAGTGAATAGGAATGCATAATTCCCAGCTTGTATACAAAATTCTGAAACATTGAACCACTTAACCCTTTGGTGAGTAGACGAAGGATCATGAGAAGCTTAAGAAGGGATATGGAACCTTGATCACTTTTAATCTCACCCCCACCCCATGAATTGCGCTTATCATGGGAATTGATGTGGTGCATCTCGGTGCACCACATTTGTGTTGATCTTCAATTAGGATTGATCCAGAGGTGGTGATCCCTTCTTACGCTTCTCATCATAACTTCCATTCTCACTGGAACCCAACCCTTGGTGAGTATGTTAGCAAGTTGGTATGTGTAGATACGTAAGCTGTACAGATCAGTCTATTGCAGGTCATTGAGTTTTCTTATTTCTATATAATGAAGTGGATTTTATGTATCAGAAAATTTAATTCGGTCGGTGAGAGACACTTCCAAAATGACCTTTAAAAGTTAATCGGGTGTTACGTAATTTTCTAGGGGGTTTCTCTTGAAGAAGGGTGATCATGTTGCCCAAATATTCTGGCATGAGTAGTGTTCTTGGTGTAGGAAAGTTACCGGTTTAAGTTTCTGCATAAGGCTATGGCTTATTTTGTATCTACGTGCAGCATGATGCTTGCATTGATATAGCTTGCGATTAGGGTGAGTTTCATTTGATCACTCTTGAGTCAAGTCTCCCCTTTGTATATGGGTCATAAGTGTTGTGTGCCTCTTTCTTGTGGAATTGATTCACATGCTTGCTCCTTCCATTCCACATAAATTACCCCCAAGGCAAGTTCAAATGAGAATGGTAAATACCGGAGAACCAACTATTCATGAATTATCCATGATGGAAATCGTGATAGATATTTTGATGAATATCATGAATATATTTAGGGTTATTCATAATGAATAACTCATGAAATAGTTGGTTTTCAGGTTCCAAAAACATTTACAGCCCTGTTTCACTGAAGCCTGTCTTTCAGCTTACGTTTATGTTGTTGCAGTTATTAATATTACTAGCACCACCAAACAGGTAAATCTTGAGAAGGTTTTTATTTGAGATGATTTTTTCATAGATGGAAGAAGCGTGTTTTCTAATTGGGAGGGGAAAGTTTGGAAAAACTTGGTTTTTTTTTTTCATAAAGCTCCCCCAAAAGCTTACTGAATAAGCCACTTTCTGTATTATTAAGCCACTACCAAACAGTCATATATAGCTGACCGGATAAGCTGTAAGTTCCATAAGCTCATTAAGCTGCTAACAAACAGGCCCTAAACGTGATGTGATGCAGAAAAATGCTTTTGAGTGGGGATTGTCGATGATTCCACATTCAGATGATGCAATTCAAGTGACTCAACACGTTGCCAACTTTTTCGTAAGGTACGTTCCTGATAATTCAAGTGCTGATTCAGGTGGATTTCGAGCAGTCGAATACCGTTAAAGAGAGTGCTGTTTGAGTTTAGATATATTTTATCCCCACAAAAAAGGTAACTTTTATCTTTTGAGCTGTGAAACATATAACTAAAAAATTAGTTTTGATTGCATTTTTGGCAGTGAGGCTAGAAAATCCTTCAACAACCCCCCTGCTAAGGAAGTGCTGGACAACGTTATTTACAATTACAGCCCCACTTATCGTGGGAAGGAGGGGTAAGTTTCTTCAGTACTTTTTGGAATTAATTAAAATATATAATGGTTTTAACTTTTCTACCAATCATGTGAAGCCACATGGTCATTTTTTGTTGAGGAAGGAGAATAAAAAATGATTTAATATTAAATAAAACAATGATATGTATTTTAGTGAGACGAAAGATTGTGTAAGAAAAAGAGTTTAAAAGGGAGAAGCATAACAAGAGATATCCGGCCTTGATCACTTTTAATCTCATACCCATGAATTGCTCTTTAGAAGAGAATTGATCTGGTGCATTTCATTAGTGTTGATCTTGAATTAAGATTGATCTAAGGGTGGAGACCCTTCTTACCCTTCTCACTCGAACCCAACCCTTCAAATAATTTCTTTTATTTTGATTCAGATTGATTATTGTTTAATATCTCTAACCAAATGTACTTTTGAGAGCAGGAAGGGATATGACGAGGTTTACATCTTCACCGAAAAGGCTGCTCCATTTCATTATAAAATGTGATATGTGTAATCATGATCAAGTATAGGGTTGTCACATGTGTTTTGTTACAAATTTGTGAAGAAAATCCATAGAGTAATGATAATGCTACATATTTCATAACCAAAAACGACAATTGATGATGGAAGATTACAAGATATTAAATAAAAAAATATAATTAAAGATAGACAAAGGGGACCAGATATGGTAACTGGTCTCGACGGGCTTGAACCATTACGGGTTACGACCATAACCCGCTTGGTCGATTGCATAATCGAACCTGTAACTGGGCCCAAAGATATTACAAGGGAGAGATTATACACGTTATATATGTAGAGGGATATTCCTATTCTGACCATTCCCATCTCCATCTTTGGCCTTCCTCACCGTCTTCTCTTGCTTGCTTTGTTTCGGCATCTCGGTCCTTGCAAAACCGCCCCCTTCCCCAAACGTCGTCTTCCTCCGTCTCCTCACCCCTTTCAAGTGAAGTGAAATTGAAACACCCTTTGTATCTCAACTTCTAAATCGAGATGTAGAAGGAAAACCAGGTCCATGATTCAGATCAGACCTCCTTAACTGGTCACCCAACTGGTTATAACAGTCACATTCAATCCTAAAATTTCAAAGTTGTAATTGATTATAACCGGGACCGGGATCCGGCATAGCTCGTTATGTCAAGTGACCGTAATGGATTACAGGGCCAATGAGTTACATGGTTTGTCCATCTTTATTAACCTTAAAAGTAAACATTGATATAAACTCGTCTTTGTTAATTGAATTTTGACCAATAGGGAGTTTATAATTCCTTCCATATTCAATAAAAATTCCTAATTTATCAACATTATGAATGGTTTGGACAATTAATTCATAATCAACCACAAATCATGCATAAAAACATGTTACATAGTTATCTATGGAACATGAATACAAATAACATGTCTTCAAATTCTATATATCCACCAAGCAGCTCCAAATACATAAAAACTATTAATTAAATAATATACATTTAATAAAGTAATGATGTCTCAGGAGTTGATTGATATGATACTAGTTGTGTACCCGCGCAATGCGGCGAAAGCCATGAATTTTAATGATTTTGAAGTTCCACTAGTTTTATAATATAAGATTTAACGATGATATAAGTTACAATTGATCTTTACATATTAATACAATTTGAATAAATAAGAGTTATGGTTCCAATTACAGACTATCGATAAAAAAAATTGTATGACAGTTTAAAATCCAATATATTTAAAATCCAACATATTTAAACGACTCCACAAATATATTCGATTTACACCAAGAGCAAAGAACCAAGAAACTTGAGTTTTAAGATAAACACTCAAAACCAATAAAGAAAACTATAAATTTGACAGATCATAAGGCATGAAAAGACAAAAAAAGTTGGGTTTTAGAATGAAATTTCAACTGTTTACCATCTTTCTTTTTCAGAAACTCAGATTAAGGTTGAATTAATACATGTATATATATATTTCAAAAAAAACCCAATAACATATTAATTCAAAACATATTATACAGTGCAATATGGACAGCCTAACCCCAAAATATATAGTATATATATAAATAAATAACTATAAAAAGTATAAATCGTAAATATTAAAAATATTTTTTTACAGTATATATAATATATAATAATATAATTAAGTAAAAAACTATTCAATATTGGACTCATTTCGAAGGTATTAACGAGACGATTATAATGGTGTAACTTGTTAAAATAAAAATGTATTTTTTTTAAACATGTTTTAATTGATATACGATTATGTATGTTAATTTGATAAAAGTTTAAAATGAAACATTTAAAAGTAAATGACGTAAAATAAATAAATTAATTAATTACAGGGGTATAAAGTGTAAATTTAAAATTATAATTTAAAAAAATCGGTTGTGAGAGGGTGAGTGTATGTGAGAGGGTGAGTGTATGTGAGAAGAGGAGATGATGAAAAAGTGAAAAAGTGAGTATAAAGGGTATTTTGGTCATTTAGAATTTTAAGACTTTAAGACTTTTGCTAAATATGTTTAATAAGATAGTATAGATATAGATAAATAAGATGAAATATAAACATATGATCTTCTGAAGAACATAACTTTTAATCGGGAACGAGTTATAGATCCCATGACCAACCCACGTAAATTTGTTGCCGACCTGCTTGCTCTTGCTTGACTCGTCCCCGAAATTTCTTCATTCGGGGTTTTGTTTTTGACTTTCCCCTAATCTATTAATGGATTTTTTTATAAATTTTATGTATTTTTTGTAAGTCACATGAATTCGCATACTTCTTTCAATCATATGCTATATTAGCAGATTTGGTATTTCAGCTTTAATTTTAAAAAATTTATCACCGGTAAAAAAATATACAGTATTCCTCTTTACAACATGCGTTTATTTATTGTTAATTAAATCGTATCTAGTATGATTTCATCATCCGTCAAGATAATAACAATGCGATCAATAATATACCAATTGTTTGAATGTCAAAATTTACACGTCATTCAACCAAGTTATAAAATAATTTTATAATATAATTAATTATAAATTTTTTTAAATAAATTATGTTGAAGTTGAATGTAATTTTTTTGTTATTTATTTTAGATAAATTATAGAGAATTTATTGAAGATGTTCTAATCATCTTTAAAATAAAAATAAAAATACATCCCTGTTTTTAAATTGACAACTGACAGAATATAACAAAAATTGAAACGAAACAGATTATAAAAAACCCCGAACATTTTAGTATATTTAATTTGACATATTCTGATGGAGAGGAGGTACAAGGGAAAAAAAACAGAAAGTAAGAAACACTATAGTAATCATTCATCTGAACGATATACACATGTTAATATAATTAATTGGAGTTGAATCTTGGTTTTTATACACGTGTGCATATTATGCACATATAATCAGACAATTTATTTAAAAATTACTTGTGTGTACATATAAATATTGTCCAAATAAACGGTTATCATATGTTTCTCTTTTTCATTTATTTACAATTTTACTTTGATATATTACCATTTATTGAATGGAATTCTATTCGTCCAAACAAACGGAAACAAAATTATTCCGATTCTTACCGTCCGGTGACAGCACGTGCGCTCGTTGCCGGCACGTGCACAACTGACTCGAGCAAGTCCACTGTGGATGGAGGTATAAAAATCAACCTGAAATGATGAAGAAAGGAAAATAGGAAAAGAAAAGCGTCAAAGAAAATGGCGGGAAATCATGAATCTGTAGGAGAGGGAAAGCGATGAAATCTTCTGATCGGTGCAAGTTTGGTTAGGAATATATCGATCTCACCCACATCAGGAGATATGGCGGACATCGAAACCCTAGGTATTCTTGATGAGATACAAGCACTTGTTTCCGATAAGCTTCAAGTGGTATATCTCTCCTCTTCGTTAGGTTTTTCAATAGATCTTTTTGTACTTGTCTTGTTCTATTCGTAGTCTAGAAACCTACCACCAATTCAATTCTAGGTTGAAAATTGACAACAGTATTACTGATCACTGGTCTCAACTCGGCTGTTTCTTATTGTTTGTTTAGTCAATTTGGGTTCTAGGGGAAAATAATATCGATATATTGGTACGATTGAAGTGTATTATGTGCCTGCACAATGCACTTCTATTTGGGGTTTTCATTAGTTATACTAACAACCCTAAGAGCACTCAATTGGTACTATTTTTCTATTTTTGTGCCCAGTAGTCTGAGTTTAATGACTTACCTTTGCATATTTGATTAAGACTTTTTTCTGTATGCAGATAGGTAAAAAAAGAGCCTTTGGAAACAGATAGATGTTTGATGTCAACTTGATTTTTAAAGAATCCAACTCATCTTTACATTTTTTTGGGGGGGGGGGGGGGTTATCATATATAACTCTCTAATTTACACTCTTTGGATGCACTTACAGAAGGGGGCATGAGTTTGACGGTAGGCACACAAACACTTGGTTATTATGTTGGCTGAATCTTTCTAGCTTTACACCAAGTATCTTTTTAACGAAAGCACTAAAAAACACAGCTCGGTATATTGGTGGAGATCTTGTCTAGAAGTGGGTTTATATATACAAAATGGCATTAAGAAGACTTAGGATTGAAAACAACTAATATCCAACTGTATAAGTAGCAAAAGGACCAAAAGAGTTAGAAGTAGCAAAAGGACCATGACTCTTTGCTTCAGCTTCTAGAATGTCTGCAGTGTGGTCCTAGTGAAACTTATAACTAAATGTAGTTGGTACTCGACTTCCAGAAAAGTTGAGTGTCAGTGCTCTTTTTTTTTTAATTAGTTTATTCTAATCTGGTATGTTCATAATATTATTTCTTTTGTATGTGTCTGTTTTTCCTGTTGGAGCTGATGTTCGCTTCATGTTTTTTCTTATCTTGTTTGGGAGAGCTATTTGCTTACCACACCTGCTCGTATGTTTTCTTATATGTGTTTGTCCAACACTTCCAAATAATATGCTTATATGCCGAAAGGTTTTGTGTATTGTCTCTGGTGCTTACAACATGTTTGCATCTCCAAATTCATGGTTATTTTTGTTAGGTTTCTTACAAATGGCTGAGTCGGAACTTTTTGGTGCCATCAAATACTGCCAAGAGGTGAGTTATTTTTCTTCTTTTTTCAAGTGATCTCATAAGTCTATTTTCTCTTTATACACCATTTACGAGATTTTGATTACCATCTTTGTGCATAGGCTGCTTCAAGAGTTTGTGGAAAAGAATGGAAGTCAACTGGAAGTTGTATATTCTCTGTCTGGATGGTTGAAGAATAATCCTTCAGCTTACCATATAAAGCTTGTTTTGGGCTCTAAACTTTCGGGTCAGATTCTGTACCAGTGGTATTGCATGCAATATATTTGGATTATGCAGGTGTAATATGGCATAGGGCGGCATACATATTATCTTAAATTGTGGGACTATTTGATGTTTCTTTTTTGTATTATTGGTCACCCTGTTGCTTCAAATAGACCTTGCCTTCCTTCTTGGAATGTGTTAATATCATTTTATGTTTGAGATTATGAGTTGATTTCAACCACCAAGTTACAGAAATCTGAAATCCTCTTAATAGTACAAACATCTTGAACCCATTAACAAATGCTTAAGATATGACTCAGAAATTTACATTAATATTTTAACCTTCAAGATTATCTAAGATGGGTTTAGCAAGAAGTGACAGTCTCATATCATGTATACTTACTCTGTATATTGCCTTTTTGTCTTTAAAAGTTATTTTCATTGCCACTGGCATTCTTTTTGCTTTTACCTTAGCCTGTGACAACTGATTTGAAAGTCTGAAGGTAATTTATCTAAACTTTTGATGGATTTTTTAACTTCAAGTCAGCTGTTGCCATTTGCTTGAATGACAGGCAGATAGGACTATATGAAAAGTGGTGCTTTGCACCTCTTCTCTGTTTCAGAAGGAAAAAATAGTGAATGTTTATATTGTTGTTTCTTCTCTTGTGAAATTTATTTTGTTAATCATGTTTTCTGTGTGTGATGGCACACTTGAATCATCTATGATGATTCCTTTAAGATGTGCAAACTTATTGTTCAAAGCCTTTCGGTGACTATGACCGTTTTCAAGCTTATTCAATTCGGAGGAGCATTGGAACTTTGTAGGGCAATTGTAAAGTTGTACTACTGAAAGGTTAGAGTCACTAAGGGTGCATTTGGTACACTGGGCAGAACAGAATGGGGATCACTGTTCCATGTTTGGCAGGACGTTTATGTGGAACAAACATGGTCCCACCCCCACCCCCATGGAAGAAGGTGGATCAAGCTAGAACAGACCTCTGTTTTACCAATGTAACCTCAAAATAGAACCTTGTTCTCTTCTAAAACGTCAAATACACATTTATCTTTACATTTTATTCATTCTATAATTTTTGTATGGTTTCTATATTTTGATTAATTTATGTTATTTAATTAAGTATTAATAGTAATAATAATAATAAAATATAGAAAAGGTATAAAGTAAAAATCGGAAGACTTTCTATTTTGGTGTCATTTTAATCGTCTTGACGAAAACTTTTTAACGATATATTTTATCATAAAAAGTATTTATTTTTATTATTATTTAATAATTTACATAATTAATCAAAATATATAAACAATTCATTAGGGGTAAATTGGTTATTTTATCTGTTTTGTGCAGTTCTGTCTTACCAAAATTCTGAACAACTGTTTTATCCTGTTCTGTTCTATCCTGTTCGGATACCAAATGCACCCTGACGGAATAGATGATCTCTTGATCTCTTGTGAGTTGTGACCCTCTGTTAACCTGAGACAATACATTCCCATAGTAATATTCTCAGTAATTTAATTTGCTTGTGTGTATTTATGTTGTGGTTCATTTTCATCCTAGTAATGATAAAAGACTATCTTTTCTGTTGCGGTTGCTTCTTCCTTCTCTAGAACCGTGGGTATTCTTTACTGACATTCGGAATGTTCAAATTCTCTTAATTCTTTTATGCAGAAGCCCAAGAAGAATTTAGTGACAGATGTTCAATTCAAGTCTATAGTGTCCAAGCTTGTATCCCTAAGGATCCAGCAGTGCTTTGGAATACTGAATACATACAAGCAGAAGAGCTTTTCAAGGAGCCCCCAAATGTTGTTAATTGCTTGCGGGATAACCGGTGAGATCCTCATCTTTTTTGATTGAATTCATTCAATACATGATAGGCACTTGTTGCTGTATCATTGAGTTGTTGTGCATTGAAGTAGATATGTATGAATTGAAAATGGGCTTGGGTAGAACTCACTCCCAAAAGCTAGCTCAATGGAGTATGATCCCCAAACTACATATATATATACATACATACATATATCTAACTTGGCAATGTGGGATAAGTACCACTTCAACACCCTCAATCACGTAGTCACGTGTAGGGTGCAGGCGAGGGACCAAATAAACTAATAAATGCAACTCTTTTATGTAGCCTGACATGTTATCAATATTGACGAGTTCACATTTTAAGACATCATTCTAGTATTGTCGGGACCTTTAGGGTGCGTTTGGTACACTGGACAGGACAAGAATAAACAAAATAGGGATCCTTGTTCCATATTTGGCAAAACTTTTATGTGGAACAGACAGGAACAGAGTGGAACAGGCCTGTTCCACCCCTACCCTATGGAACAAGGTGGAAAAGACTTATATTTTACCAACATAACCTCAAAATAAACTTAATTCTCTTTTAAAACATCAAATAGGTCTCCTTTACATTTTATTCATTCTTTAAATTTTATTTATTGTATTTTTTGCCTTTTAAACTTTCATTTTACTATCATCAAAATATTGTTTTTATCATGTTTCAATATTTTTATTAATATATGTAATTTATTATACATTAATAATAAAAAAAGATGTTGATTAGGGATGATATAAAAATTAGAAACTACTTAAACTTTTTATTTTGGGGACATTTTTTGACGAAAACTTTCTAATGATGTATTTTGTTATAAAAAATAATTATTTTATTATCATTTAATAAATTACATAATTTAATCAAAATATATAAACAATTCATTAGGGGTAAATTGGTCATTTTACCTGTTTTGTCTTGTCTGGACACCAAACTCCCCCTTAGGTTGCGTTTGGTACACTAGACAAGACATAACAGAACAGAGATCATTGTTTCACGTTTGGCAGGACTTTCATGTGGAACAGTCACAGACAGGAGCAAAGTGGAGCAGGTGTGTTCCACCACCACCCCATGGAACAAGGTGGAACAGACGCAATATAAACCCTAATCTCTTCTAAAACATCAAATATGTCTCTTTACATTTTATTGATTCTTTAAATTTTATTTTTTGTTTGTTATGCTCTTTAAGCTTTCACTTTAATGTCCTCAAAATATTATTTTTTTATACGTTTCTATACTTTGGTTAATTTATGTAATTTATTAAATACTAATAATAAAAAAGTAATATAGAAAAGGTGTAAAATAAATTTTGGAAACTACATAAACTTTTTATCTTGGTGTCATTTTAATCGTCTTGACAAAAACTTTCTAATGATATACTTTGTTATAAAATATTTATTTTATTATAATTTAATAAATTACGTATATTAATCAAAATATATAGAAGATATAAAAAACTCATCAGGGGTCAATTGGCCATTTACTCTGTTTTGTCTTGTCCAATTTTGTCTTACCAAATGTTGATTGCACAGTTGCTCTATGTTCAGGCTCTTCACATCTGACTGTTTTTTCTTCAGGTTTTGTGGGGTCTCAAATTCGTATGTAAAACGCAATGGTGAGGGACCACCTGTAAGCAGTGCAGCTCTACCGTTGAAAAATGTAGGAGTCTGTGGACCATCCAGAACTAGTTCTTCTAAGCAAACTTCTGACAATTTATTACGTCAAGAAAGAAGGGTTGAGCAATCAGACCCTAAGCCTGATCAGGGTAAAGATATTCAAAGCGGAAGTCATCAGGCACAAGCTCTAAAACAGGATGGCAAACCAGTTGCACATAAAGAGCAAGTTCCTCAATTGCCTCCTAACAAAAAGAGAAACCAGAATGATAAAAGCTCTTCTGGGACTGCAGGCTCATTAGCTAGTATATGGGGTCGTGCATCTTCAAAACCAAAGCCGGATTCTGCTTCAATAAAGACTGAGAACGCCATTCCTATTTCTAATGGTTTGTTTTACTTTTAATCATAGTGACCACGGTTTTAAGAAGCAGATAAGGCATACGCCTCAAGGCGGCCTCCAAGGCAGCGCCTCTCAAGCCTCGGATGAGATGTACGCCTTGGTGGTCTGAGGCAGTGGAGAGGCGTACGTCTCTCTACAGAGGCTAGATTATTAAAAAAATGATTGAAACCTTCTCGAGTTCTTTTGAAATTTTTTGCAGAATTTTTTGCTGGTTCTCCTAAGGGACCTGCTACTTGTCATTGTCACAGTCCCACTCCTACTTTGTTGATATATTAATATTTTTTTCTTTATGTGCTGTGAGTATATTAATATATACATGCATACATACATACATACAAAGTTGTTAAAGACTCAAGGTGCACTTAGGCGTAAATGGGTCTCGAGGACTAGGCGTGATGTGTGGGTCTTAGGAATGCGAGGCACATTTTATCATATATATATATATATATATATATATATATATATATATATACGTACACACGCACACAACTCAAATATGCAGCAAAGCCTCCAATGCGGCAACCAACAATATTTCGATGGAGGGAGAAGGGATAAAGGTCTAAAGCATGAGCCGTGAGGGAGAAGTTTTAAGGTCTAGGTATTCATAGAAGAAGCTTGAAGTTCTAAGGATTGGGTATTTAATATTAGGGTTTGACTTATGTCATCTATTTAATAAATCTCTTTTAAGAAGTCTAGGAGATGAGAAGATGAGAGAACTTAAATATTATTATTAGGGTTTGACTAGGTATTTAGCAACTCTTTATGACGCGTGCCTAGGCCCACAAGGCGCCTCAACCAAGTCGTAGTGCTATAGTGATCTCATGAATATGCCGAGCCTCGACTTTACAAGAGCCCAAGACTTTGAACCTAATGAGCCCCAGAGTCTAGACGTGCCTTCAGGCACACTTTTGACAACTATGCATACATATATATATATATACATATATATATATATATATTATTAATAGATCAATATATTTTCTTTGTTATTATATCTATATTTCGTGATTGAAAAAAGCATATGTAGATTATTTTAGTAATTTAGTATGATATATATAGGGGGCAGGTTCAAACGAGAATATTAACTATTTAAGAAAACAAGAAAAAGGTCGTTAATGTACAAAATCATACATGATTCACACACACACACACATATATATTACGTACAAAATCATACAGCTTCAAAAGTAGTCCGCTTCCATTTTTTGACGTTAATGTAAAATCACATGTGATTTTGTACATTAACGACCTTTTTCTTGTTTTCTTAAATAGTTAACATTCTCGTTTGAACCTTCCTTTATATATATGTATTGTATATATATTTGTAGTATGTATGTACATAGTTTGGTGTATACATATTGCCGCCTTGAGCTTACGCCTCGCCTCGTCGAGGGAAAAAACACCTCTAGGCTCAATTCTGCCTGTAAAAACCTTGATGGTGATATAGCTGAAATATTGTATTCATCATTTGCCGTAAAAGGCTCCTTTATTTCAATTATAATCTCATTGAGCTAAACTATTGCAGATGCTCAAGTACGTGCTAATGAATCGGTGGAGGATGGAAGCAGTGACGATGATGATGGGCAAATGAACTTCAAGAGAGTGTCCAATGGTGAAGGCAATAATAGAAAGAGGAGGGTTGTCTTTGATTTCTCTGATGAAGATGATGACGGCAAAGATACAGTGAATCTAGCCTCGCCAGATCCTCCAAAGAAGCAAGTTTCTCTTGATTCAAAGAAAAGTACTAAAACTCCAAGTCTGGAAAATAAGAATTTGGATTTTGATGAACCAAAGGAAGAGAATGTGAAGGTTGAGAAAGAAAAGGTGGCCAAAGTTGTTCCCAAGTCGACGTTGAAAGAAGAAAGCAGTGAGAGGAAAAGGGGTCCTGCTTCAAACGAGAATCAATGCCCTGACAAGGATGATATGAATCAGAAAGATAAAACAAGTGATGCAGCTCAAAATGTACTTAAAAAGAGAAAAGTTTTGAAGACACGTATCGATGAACGTGGGAGAGAAGGTATGGTTGCGCAAGAGGCTTTCTTTACGTTTTATGATTGTGCTTTGTTTTATAATTAATATTTGTTTTGTTTTATATTATGCCAATTATTTTGTGCCCCCGTTTGGAAAAGGTTTCTGGATCTGCCTCTGGTAATGCTATTTAATTCTCTGATTTTACAGATTTCTGTTTTTATTTGTGACAAACAGATATTACATCTAATTGATTTTTTTTTTCAGTAACTGAGGTTGTTTGGGAGGATGATGAGAAAGAGACAAAGCCTGATGACAATACAAGAAAAGATACAGGTGATAGTAATACGGCAAACAATGTTGTCAACAGGTAATCATTATTATATTTATACCTATTTTGTTTTATATGTCATATCATATAGGGAGGTTCAAATGAGAACAGGGTTCAAATGAAATGTGATATAGGTGTTCTCAGTTTTTCTTATTTTGACCGTGTTCTTGTTTAAGCCCAACCCTATATATAGGGATGTTCAGGGGAAAAACCTCAAAAAATGAAAATTTGAGGAACATCCTAATAACTGTGCATCTGTTAGGTATGCACATGTGCATACAAGTATTTGAAGATTTTTCTTGGTTTCTTTGCACGTGTGCATGTTATTTATATGTGCATACTGGAAAAATTACTTATAAATTACTCGTATGCACATTTGCATACCCTACAGATGAACAATTTCTAGAGTGTTTTTCAGTTTTTCATTTTTTTGCAGTTTTCTTATGAACCTGACCTTATATATGTGTGTATATATGTATACACACACATAATACATATACTTCTGAAGTAGTGAAGTTGCATCATTTGGAAATTTCTTTCTTTATACATAATGACATGATATTGGATTATCATATTGTGATTGTTAATATATACTGCCTTCTTTGCTTTTTGAAGCTTGGTTTCTATCCTATGATGGTGGTATACAAATAGAACACCATGAGATTAGTTGTTCTTGATGATCCTTTTATTTTATATTTCTGGAGATGAATGCCAACATGAAAACACTAAGTTATCATCATTTTGCATTTTGCATTTTGCACCATGAGACATTATCTCATTTTTCTCACCGTACCTCCTTGCCTCCTTTCATAATCCGTTTTATTGATAATTTTACCATCTACATATAAGAAAAAGAACCATGGACAAGGTAGAATTTCACAGCCCTAATGAAAAACGATATTAGCTGCGCGTTGCCCAGGAATTTACCCTAATTACTCTTGAGATTAAAGTCTGCATCTTTTCCTCGATTACAAACCAAACTGGCCCAGTAAATCTCCCAATTACGTAGACCTAACCTTTACCCCAAAAGAGTAGAGCGACTATCTCTGTTTTTCCTCAGTTTTGTCCCTCCTGCCTTGCCTTGTTTGTTTAAGTATACATGTTGCTACCTGTAACTTGCTCTTTTGTCTCTTTAAATTTTTTGTTTTATAAACCAGCCTGGAAACAATCTCTCTACCCTCTTCGGGTAAGGAAAGGTTTGCCTCTATACATCTTACCTCCAAACTCTACCTGCTTGGTATCTACCAGGTTTGTTTAGTTTGGTTCTTGAAGAATGCGTCTGTTTTTCTTACAGAAGTTGATATATGTGTATTAAAGGATGGTATTCTCATAATTGGGGTTTTTGAATTCAGGCCACCTGCAGCAGCTCCCAAGAAATCACCTGCACTAGGTAATGCCTCGTCCCATGCAACAGGGAAAGCTGGAAACAAGAAAGCCGGTACCAAGGATCCTAAGCAGGGGAATATCATGTCATTCTTCAAGAAGGTTTGATGAGTTGGAACTCTAGTTTGGTTATGTAGGTTTTTATGCTCTGATTATATTTTACCATATTAGCCCTGACATGTACTACTCTCTTTTGGTTATCCTCTTTGCATCACTTTCACTTCCTTTTCCTGAGTTGTACATTTTCTCAAAGTTTGTAGTTGAGGCTTTTTTCATGGTTGCACAAATACATGAGGGATGGTTGAGAGTTGAGAGTTGGTAGTTGAGGCTTTTTTCATGGTTGCACAAATACACAAGAGGGAAGGTTGAGAGTTGCAGTTTATTTTTAATAGAAGTGCTGGGAAGCATAACACAAAAATATGCCTAAAAACTCATCAGAAGAGTGATATTTTGAAGTGTTGGTATCACAATGAAATCATAAGCCTGGAAAGTTCAAAAGTAAAAGTGAACCAGGCCTGAAAAACTACTCGGAGGAAACGGTTCTACATGATACACAACCTCTCTTTTGCTATATTTTGCGCTTTGTGTTTCCCGTGCTTTCAACTTAGTTGTATCAAGTTTGTTGGCTCACTCAAGACATACCTTGGTATTTCATATTTCGTACCTGCAAATACAAGAAAATATACGTTCATATAATTCATAGGATTTCTGTGATCGAGAAGTAAACCATGTAGACGGCAAACATCGTGTTTGGAACTTTTTGTATGAGGTTGGAAGTAATATCCATCCCACATCCATTGTTTTAATTAGTGGATCATAGTCGGGGTTCTGTGTCTTTTGCACTTCCATAGAACAAGCATAGAACCCCGTGTTCTACCAACCTATTTAAAAAATGAACGGGTCCAATATATATAAACCCATTAAATGATCGTTTTTTCTGTCTATGTGAGATGAAAGGGAACTTCCAATCCCACAAAAAGTTCAAACACATGGTGCTTGGAAACGAGGTCAGAAGCTTATTGGGTTGTGTAATAATACAACCCAACGGTGCATTTGACGTATCAGTTCCAAGCAGAGAGGGGGTATCAAAAGGAGAAGAGATGTGTAAAGGTGACACCTCTTTCATCATAACAAACTGTCATATCAGGTTTATGAACAATGACCCCTGCACTGTCCACAATTGCTTGAGCAAGCTCTATATCAGCTTCAGCAGCTGCATGTATCGCATCCCATATTTCTTTTTGCATAATCGAAATAAACATTTATCAGAAAAATTGCAACACAAAATATTTTTTTTATATAATTTTTAGATAAAAAATCTCTACTCAAAAACCTATAAATGTATCAACTAAGGGCCGGTTCTTAGCAGCTTAATGGGACTTGGCTTATTCAGTCAACTTATATTTTACTGTTTGGTAGTAGCTTAATGATATAAAAAGTGGCTTATTCAGTAAGTTTTCAGGGGAGAGCTTTATACAGAAAGTCTGGTTTTTTTTCCAAAGCTTCCCCTCCCAATTAAAAAAAAGATCTTTTTATCTACGAAAAACCCTTCTAAACAAAAAATTTCACAATATATACAGACAGGTTAATTCACAAAACAACTTTATTCGTACAAGATTTAATAAAAAATCAATCAAATAGCCGCCAAGGCTAGAACCCGTAACTTGAAAACCTTTTGGTTTTTTACCTTTCTTGCCACCATGGTGGGGAGCTGTATCCCAGAACTCGTCGCGCATCTGCACCAGCTGACTCCATGTAACTGGCCGCGGGAACTTCCAAGGCTTTGGCTTCCTTATCTGTTTCGCCGTTCCTGCCATTGAAATAAACACACCATGTTGAAGGTCTCATTAGTCAAGGAATCCAAACCTAACGAACTTAGTGAATCCGACACAGAGTAGGGTCCGGGAAGGGCATACATACACAGACCTTACCTTTAAAGAGTATTTCCATAAAAACAAAGAATCAAAGTGGTTCGGAGGGCGAAAGACTTACTTTCTTGTTTATTTAGCGACGATCCGAAACAGCCCATTTTTGGTCTCTGCAATCTGCTTAAAACTTCAACAGATAGTGGTTGAAGCTATAGCTAAGCTATGGCAGTGAATATTAAGGCAAAATAGAGATCTCCCAGAAAGATTTAAATACGAGTAGTTGGGCAGTTTCATTGGTCTTTCTCGTGATAAAAAGTTTCACCTTTCAGATTCATGTGATTGCAGGCAACTAGTTTCCATTAGATACTTTCTTGGATAAAATCTATCTCAAGAAAAAGATAAAGAAAAACAACTTTTCTGAAACAGAAGCCACCATAACCAGTCATTCTTGAGTAGCTTTACCACCTACCCATGGTACAAATCCATCAGCCCACTGTACAAACACTTAAAGCCACCAAGAAATGAAGGATACAACCCGGATGAAAAATATCTCAAGTTTAGTTTGGCAAAGCCTACAACACTAGAAAATTGTACAATTTTTTAATTGTAACGATATGAATCTCCATATTTGTTCCTCATATAGCTAAACTTAGGATCCTCATAGTTGACTGGTTTTAGGTCAACTGGTTTTTGCTCTCCCTGGAATGGAACCTCCGCTCGTTTATCTCTTGGCCTATGCTTTGTTCTTTCCTTCTGGCTCTTGGACCGAACATGAGGAACTTCGCCACTAGCCCCATAAAACTCCGCGTATTCTTCTCTCTTTGAGACTCTGTGCTTGCTTGGATCTTTTAAGCTAGATGATCTGAGCTTTGTGGGCTTTGTTTCTGGGTATTTTTCGTTTGGATTGTGGACATGGCGAGTTTCTGAAAGAGGGGTTGGAGTTCTGTGTTTTTGAACTAATGGGGGTTGATTAGCAGGCTCGTCTTCGGGCATTATGAGAGAATCTTTTAGTGGGGTGAGGCCTTTTTTAGGAGTGTTTAAGGGGTTGAAAGAAACAAAGATGTTACCAAAGCCTTCGAGAGCGAGCTTGAATAGATCCAGAATGAGCTGCCCAAATGATGGCCATCCTGCTTCTTGTTCCTCTCTAATGGTTTCCACAGTTGGAGTTTGGGTTTTAGTGGGTGCTTCCTTGCTTGATCCTTTCGCATCATTCTCCACCTTATGCTGCCACACACATGCCAAATTAGCTGCTAATAATTAAAACATCTTCCTAAACTATAATCAAGTAACCACGAAAAATGATAACCTTAAATATAGCTAATCATAAAGTAGAATTGAACATTTTGCAGTGGGTACATGATCTTTAAGTTGTCGGTCGGGGTAATGACTAGAAAAAAATCTCTTTTTTTCCATTCAGCCTCATTGCATTTGATTAAACGAGAAAGGACTTGCGTGTTATTTTCATAGATGAGTTTGTTCTTTAACAAGTTGGATCGATGAATTTGTTCTTGAATTTAGCTGGTTAAAAGAAGACAAATGGACTTCCGAAGATATTGGTGCAGAAGGTTTTAGCAAATCTTTAACATGATTAGGGCAAGTTAAGCAAGGATGCATCAGACTCTTACCACTTTTGAGAAATATGAGGGGCCATATCCTTGTTGAATCATGCATACAACATATCCTATCAAGATAGCACCAATTACCAAAACGAGATCTGTCCAAGTGCATAAAAGGCAAGATTAGCCAACAACCAACATAATATTTGAAAGGAACAATTATCCATTATGATTAGGCTTTTACTCATGAGTGTTCAAGACATGGTACTATAAGATTCTCAATATGATTTCATGCTCAGGCAAACGAGTAACATATTTAGACAGAATCTGCGTAACACATGCATTTAAACTCATTATCATATTGATAAGGAAGTTACCACCATTCTAGAGCGGTATGCATAGTTATGCAATCCCAACTACTTATAAAGGACCTTGCTTATGGGATTTACTCCAATCATTAGTATCATGGATATACTCGATGGATCAAGATCATAATCTATCTTCATGTGATAGCCAACTCTTTGGAGGCTCCACTCGTCGCCACCAACTTTACTTTCACCTAGATCTAGCCAAGATTTGCATCACCAATGACACACAACCCCAAACCTCGCCTCTTCAAAGCCAGTTGGCTTTCGTTAAAATTGCCAATTTCTCAGGCATCTCCCCTTTGGAGGCTCAAACCTCTTAGGACCCTTTGTTGGACAGTCATGCACCTACTTAAGACCAAGCCCGTCCATACGTATTATTTTAAAGTTAAGGAGTATTTTGGGTACTTCATACAACAAATTCTAGTACAAATAGGGAGGTTGCAGGAGGAGTGAGGCAGGCAGAAAATTAGTGAGTTCTATATGGGAGAGTTCAAGCCTCTTGAATGCTAGCATCTTTCTGTTTTCTTTATATTACAAGCATCTGACCACTGATTTCCAGGAACCATTTTGTTGTTCTTGTTCAATATTACCTAGTTAATAATAGCTTAGGATCATTTCTCATCATGACCAACTCTAGGTCACTCAACATCCGTTTGGTACCAACAACCTCTGACTAGTCTGACCCTCCTATGAGTTCCCTCAACATTGGCACCTAGTTGCACCTTCTTCAACCTGTATTGTCCTTGAGGTTGATTGGGCAGTCAACAGTTGGTTGGCATCTAAGCAAGAGATAAAGAAGTCCTAAACAGGCTACAAGTGGGACTAAAAGAAAGAACTACTATTTCCGTCAACTAGTAAACTCCGCGTTGAGGGATGGTTTGTGTTTTCGGGTTTCTTAAATCATGGGCCGCCCATCAACTTGGCTTAATAGGATATCCTGGTAACTAATTTTTCATTGTCTGCGGATGGCTGCTTCAAATTCCTTTCAGAGTTTTGCCCATCAATTCGTGGTTAGGCATTCAGCAGGTTTGGATAAACATTTGAAGTTACTCTTGGTTGTATCAATAGCAGGTTGGGTTTTCTTTTTGTTGATGTTCAAGGAGATTGGGTCTCAAGGGTTCTTTCATTTGCTGACAAGTTCAAGTTTTCAAAATTCAGCAAATGGTGCAATTAATGGGTTTCACAAGTTTTCAAAATTAAGTTGAAACGCAACTTTATGGTGGCTGTGACAAGTTCAAGTTGGTTCAGTTTGAAGTTATTCATTTGCATTCTCAGTTGGGTTGGGTAGTTCAGTAATTTGTATCCAATTGGGTTGTGTAAGCTATGTTATAGTATCATTGTACCAATGAGAAGGCATCTTGCCTTCCACCAAGAGTATTCCCATTTGGATCTCATTAAGATCCATATCAGAACTTCAACTTACCCTACCCACCCCTCCAAAAATGATGTACACAATGTCACTAAGTTACACCATTGGTTATACCACATATAATGACTGGCAAATAGGTTATAGATAAACTTCAAGCAACATTTTCAGGTTAAGGTTTACTTCAATCACATTGAAAGGTGTTCAAACCTGTGGAAGAGACGGAGCTGTAGTGGATATCACAATCCTCTTGATTGAGAGAAATTTGTCGAAGAGCGGCATTTCCTCGGTCAATAACTAGCAATGAACAGGTTGGCCTCACATAAATTACATCAAAGTCGGTTGAAAACTGTGCATCCTCACTTGGCCCATCCCTGTACCCTGCTACATTTGATTTTCCTCCAGCAATTGTCGTCACACCTGTGAATAAATTTATTCTTCAATAAAACTTTGTGATGAATGTAATAACCAGATCTTGGTTATTACCCAAGGTAATTTATACGTGAATATTTGACTAAATGATTTCGTGATAGCATGATAAACTGATATGTTTATTATATGTTGAGATGTGAAAATGTGCAATATTTAGATATGAATATATATATATATATATTGACACATATATATATATATATGTGTGTATGGAATATAATATATATATATTTATGTTATTAATTTTGAGTGCAAATGGTGATGCATACGTGGATGTTGTGTGCATAGAAGYAGGAGGTGTGTGTGCATGTGGGTTGTGCATTCTTATATGTGATTGGTTAAGCTTGAGGTGGAGGGTGATATGAAAGGCGGTCTAAACCGACCTTTCCCTAATTGGGAGGTATAAAAG